TTTTTTACTAATAATTCGTGACTGAATGGCTCCGAACGGCTAAATTTTTGGTATACACAAAGACTTTTTGGCTCTGAATATATTCCAAAAATCAATTAATTATGTTGATCACTTTATATACTCGTCCTTACTGCGATACTTACTTTCATCCGAATATATATAGATACCGTAACGGTCTATCAATTATGACTTTATTAATTTACTAATGTAGATATTTTATATTCGCAATGCTCCATACATGCAAGCTCCAGCAACGGTGGAGGCAGGGTCCCCCTGCACCGTACACCGCACCCCGCGCACACAAACAAATTAGATATTTTTTGAATACACAAAGACTTTTTGGCTCTGTATATATATTTCAAAAATCAGTTAATTGTGTTGATCACTTTATATACTGGTCCTTACTGCGATACTTATTTTAATCCGAATATATATAGATACCGTAACGGTCTATCAATTATGAATTTACTAATCTACATATTTTATATTCGCAATGCTCCATACATGCAAGCTCCAGCAACGGTGGAGGCAGGGGGGAGCACCGTACACCGCACCCCGCGCACATAAACAAATTAGAATAAATTAAATTCATAAGATTATTTATATATTTCGACTGCCTCGGTGGTCACACCGCTTTACATCCGATGGCCGCGGGTTCGATTTCTCGCACGATGCAAACATTTGTACTCATCGGTCATCGATTGTTTTCATCGGTCTGGGTGTTTTATATGTATTTACAAAATAAAAATATCTATTTATATCAGTTCAGTATCAGTCTGTGTTAATTGTCCAGGGTTATTTATTATATTTTTATAAACGGTTATCTTTTTCCATCGCACCGCTCGCTATCGACAGTGAATTCATAGAAATGTCACTCTAAAAACAAAAATAGTTTTGTGTTTTGTATTTCAAATACTAAATGCAAAATAGGTATTTTCAAAATACTTTTTAAAAATTAAGTACCTTTTGAATTTTTGTCCAAACCTCAGATATTTTATTTATTTTAGGTATATCAATCATTACATAGTAATATAAAAACAAAGTCGCTGTCGCATCTAACAGTACATAAACAAAGAAAGAAGACTTTGGCTCTGATACCGTAACGGCCTATGAATTATGAATTTATTATACCTAATCTAGATATTTTATATTCGCAATGCTACGTACATTGTAATATCCGCCTCCATTCATTGTAACGGTGGAGGGACTAAATAGTTGAATAAAACTGAATAAGCAGTTGCTCCACTCTATAGGTACTGCGTCGTCGTCGTATGCTGTTCATTTTTTCACTCGTTTTGGCGCCAAGAGAGGGTCACATAGTCGTGGTCAAGTTAAGAACTTATAATTTAATTTTGATAACAATAGATACAAGTAAAAAGTAGGCATTATATTAATGTACGTAAGTACTGTACTTAAAAATATTTATTCTTTACTGTATGTACATTTGAAAAACTTAACACTTAAGGACTTGTACATATACACGTACATACTGCCATTTTCTCTTAAAGACATCCAGAGAAGCACTATTTATCAAATACGCGGGGTGCACCGACCTTTGACCTTATAACACCTGATTCGCGCGTAACGAATTACATTGCTACTTTTTGGTATTTTATAGTGGATATGTCACTATAAAATATTATTATTTCTTTAGATTATGACATAATAACATAGTTTACATGATTTTAAGGGAAACATACGATAAAAAAAAATCCCGTAAAATGTAAAAGATAAAAAATGGTTATTGTTGGTTATCCTTAAGAGATAGACATATACCATCACGGACTTTTTTGTTGACCTTATTTTGATACATCTCAAAGCACTAGACAACACGCATTTTCATTAAACAGTATTGTATTTTTTTATTTCTTTAACTTTAATGCACAAAAAAATTTGTACATGTGGCGGACTTAATATTTTGCCGCGTTATTTACCAGGCAACCATGAGTGGTGCAGCGAAAGATTATTGGCGGTGCACTAATATAAATAAGAAATGTCAAAAAAAGATTTATAAAGATAATAAAGATAAGCAAAATATACATTTCTATAAAAAAATAACAATATACATACATAAATATATATCTAAATATAACCCATAAATGTATAAATATTATATATAAGTAAATACATAATGATCCGATAATCAAATTATAAGTACAGTCTCAAATTGAAAGTAAGAAAATCAGAAAATATAGAGAGAACTATATGGATATAACAGAAAGATGTGAAAAAAGGAGAAGGACAGTAAAAAAGTTACAAATTTAAATAATGTTCCCGCAATTTCTGTTTAAATGAATTTATTACATTATTATATATATTAGGCATACGACTAGCCTTATGACTGTTACTTTTTTTTAATCTATACATCTATACATGTAAATAAAATTGGAGTGTCTGTTTGTAATATTGAAATAACCGTTTTTTACTACTTGCATATGAATATAAATACGGTACATACACCAAAATAACATATTTTACAAGTTTTGTCTGTCTGTCTGTCTGTTTGTTCCGGCTAATCTCTGAAATAGCTGGACCGATTTTGACGGGACTTGTTTTGGCAAGTAGCTGATGTAATAAGGAGTAACTTACGCTACTGTTATTTTAGAAAAATAAAATAAAATTTCACGCGGACGAAGTCGCTGGGGCCAGTTAGTCTATAGATATACCGAGATTTAATGTTTAAGTTGCTATTATGTTGTTGACAAAAATTTTACTGTAATGTTACTATTACGTTATCCTACACAATTTGTATTATTTTGGATGAATAAATAAATAAATAAATAATAATCTATACATCTATACATTTAATAAAAATTGGAGTGTCTGTTTGTAATATATAAAAAACCGTTTTTTACTACATGCATATGAATATAAATACGGTACATACACCAAAATAAAATATTTTACAATTTTTGTCTGTCTGTCTGTTTGTTCCGGCTAATCTCTGAAATGGCTGGACCGATTTTGACGGGACTTTTTTTGGCAGGTAGCTGATGTAATAAGGAGTAACTTAGGCTACTTTTATTTTAGAAAAATAAAGTTAAAAACCACGTGGACGAAGTCGCGGGAACAGCTAGTGTATAATATATTAGAGATACCTACGTGTTTTTTTATTGATGACTAGCTGTACACGGGATTTCGTCCGTGTTGAATTTAACTTTATTTTTCTAAAATATAAGAAGTTAAATTCAACGCGGACGAAGTCGGGTGTACAGCTAGTTGTCGGTAGTCTAGCGATTTAGCTAGCACACTGCTTTGATTCCTGCTTGGTGGTCGAGGGTTCGATTCCTCGCACGCTGCAAACATTTGTATTCATGAGTATGATTGTTTGTAACGGTCTGGGTGTTTTCTATGTATAGATAATATATATGTATTTACGAAAAAAAATCTTTGTATTTATATCAGTACCCATAACATAATCTTCAGCTAGCTTAACTTGGGTCTAGATGAAGCTGTGTGAATTGTCCTGAGATTACTATTATTACTATAATAAATCTTTTCAAATCAGCCGATGTTTATTTTTGCCATAATACGTGCTGTTACCATGTGATAATATTACGTACGTACTTATTACTGTTTTAAATGTGATGCGTTCATTATTTATATTTCCTTTGAATTAAACACAAATGTAAGTATATATATATATACTTACATTTGCACACTTAGTTGATCCAGCCACGATCCGTAGATATTGCTGATTCCACTGTCTCTCTCTTTCTACCACTATAACGGTAGCGTGGCGGAACGGCAACATGTTGCCGTTCTGCATTCGGAAAAAAAAAATTTGCTGTTTCATTATTTTTTAGTTCAATTAGTGGTCTACCTAAGTTCTGGGCTAAGGGGGGGGGAGAGTCATGACGCCCCCATGACTCCCATGACCTCCATGACGCTCCCCCCTGGATCCGCCGTTGCGTCTTCTCTTTATTCGCTCAGTAACGTTGTTACAAAAGAAAAGATTCCCATCCAAAAAATAACAAGTATTGAGGTTTGATCTGGAGTCACGTTACTCCAGACTGATTTCTATAAATATTTAGATTAGGTAGACTATTATTTTTGAAATACTAGCTAGACATTATTAAGTTACTGTAGCCATAATGTAGTAGCCCAAACGTGCCAATGAGGAAGCCCTTGGCAAATGCTGCACCCTGATTGGCCCGTTTGAATTGGATCAAGAACTGCTTGTATGCCAAAAAGGTGGATTTGTATAAAATCGTGTATAAATCGCTTAATTATTATTATTACTCGTCGTGACAGTTGTGGCTCAAAACGGAGCAACATTTACATATGGTCATCTGGCATTAGATCAACAAAAGGCCTCCGGATCAACAAGTGAAAAAGGATCAACAAAAAACTACCTATACGGCACGTCTGAGCCACAAAGTGCCCAAGGGGATATTTATATATATATAACTCTATATATATATATATATATAGATTATATCAAATAGGTGGACAAAGTAAACCTTTATTGGGTTTACTTTGTCCACCTATTTGATATAATCTATATACTTAATACTAAAAAAAATAATACTATTTTTAATATACACCAAAAATTAAAATCACAATTCAGCCATTTTTTTATAAATAATTATTATTACTATTATATTTGTATGTGTATGTAGTTGCTTGTTGTAAGATAGAAAAAGATTAATTTATAGAAAACTAATATTTCATACTCATTGCCACTTTGTATGATGTTGTTGATAGGCAAAGTAGTTATTAAATGTAATATACCACTTAAAAGATATCACACATTTGGGGAAAATGACAATTATGAATATGAGATGAAATTGACTTTGAATCCATAAATCTCACTTAAAACTTAAGAGCTCACATAAAAATATCAGCTGCTATCAGCCATGTAACATATAATTTAAGAAGACGTTAGGGCAAAATGACAATCATAAATATGAATGCCACTAAATACTTAAAGAGCTAAAATATTTAGCTATTACTAGCAGTATGCTAGTTAAAATCAGATATATATTGAAGGCACTTACTTTATAGGCATCAAGACAATCATGTTCCCTTGCTATCCTCTCTGCAGGATTGCTAGCATGCACAAGTGTGAGTATTCGTCTTAATATAGGACCAGGTTTTAAATGGTGCCACAATTTACCAATACATAGCTCTAGAAGTATTATGCCAAAGGACCACACATCCGCTGCTGGCCCTCCACCTTTCAAAATTGTTTCAGGACTCAGATATTTAGGGAGACTGCAAAAAATATAAATTAAATTTAGATATTTTTGTAGCTTAAAGCATAATTTAACTTTTAAAATTTAATTTTATAAATATGCAATAAAAATTGTAAAGAACTTTATCACTGGCTTTGTATAATAAAATTTTTAGATATTATAATAATGTATACATAAATTTATTCTAATTTATTCATATATAAGAATCAGTCTGTAGATAGACCACATGGAAGTCAGTTCACTAGTTTTTTTTAATTAATATAAAAACACAGGAAGACAGCTGTGTCTTGGTGGGGGGATATTGTTTTATAATAGGTATAGATTTCAATTAATCTATAACCACTTAAGCAAAAAAGATTTGATTAGTGTCATAATGAAAATAAGAAAATCTATAATATATATAACATACCCAAGTGGAAAGGAGACCTCTTCCCCACTTCCAGTCATGTAATACATCCCAAAATTAAACAATTTCACCCTGCCATGTTTGTCTAACAATATATTATCGTCAGCCAAAGTTCTATGAGTAATGTTGTGATCATGTAAAAATTTTAAACCATTAGCTAACTGTCGACCAATGTTAATAATTTCTTGATGGGTAAACTTTGAATTTAATTCCTTTAGTGATTTACCAATTACTTCAGCCACAACAATTATTCTTTCTGGAAAACAAAATATAAATTTCAGTCAATCAGATAACAATAATAATGTAAATGTAACATATGTTCATAAACATTATACCCAAATATTTTATGAAAATCCATATTCATATTTTGCCAACTATATTTGAAATTAACGTAGGCAGAGGGGAAGCACAATCTTTATGGATTAATTTGATTTGTTACCAGTGACTTCATAATCAAAAAGTATTCTAGTAATATAAAACCACACACAAAGATTTCACACGTCGGCTAGATTCGATCTCAAAGCTTTTAAAATTTAAATTAGTAGTAACCTATTAGGCAACGACGCTCCCAAATATACAGTTAAAAGTTTCTTTTAGTACATACCATGTTTACCCCTGATGACGTCTAAGTAAGTGCATAAATTAGGATGTTCAATAGTCAACAATCGTTGAGCTCTGCTTAGAATAGTTACTGAACTTGGAGTAAGGGGTAATCCATTGGTACCGCACGTTTCACCAGGATGATTCCTGGCAAAATATGTACAGGCTGCAAATTTATAATCGTCTTCATTTTCGATGTACATAGCGACACAGTTATAGAATTGTTACTAATTTCAAGGAAACGGGTACTAAATCTATTAAGTAAATCACTTTAAAACGTTGTAACTAATATAATTAATATTTGCATTTTTAATAATAATACAAATTATTATAGTAAATAAGTGATTGAGGGCGGGTTTTGTTTACTTTTATGCATAGTGCTATAAATTAATCTGTGCTGGTATTCATAACATTGCTGACTGACTTACGTGACTGACTCAGCAACGGAGTTTTTAGCTAAGAACGAGAATTATGTGTGAAAACATCAACATGACAAAAAGGACATAACATTTCCAATGTTTTCTAACTATTAGAACTTCTATGGGTAAAAGTTATTAAAAACTTGCATGAACAAAAAATATATCATACGTAATTAACAATATTCTTTGTCAGCTTTGTAAACATAAAAACTATAACCTTACAAATGTGATTACTGTGACTATTTAATTTTTTCTCTTTATTAATGTCCTATTTATTTATGTATACCTTACATAGGATTGTTCCTTGACTGTAGTTCTTATTTTTATTTTTAGATTACAGAATTATTACAACTAATATAATTTTCGTGAGTTGATCTGACATTGACAATTAAATTCTCTTTTCTTATATGGCAGTATTGTCAGTGGTGCATGCATTTTGTATTTTTTTTTATCATTAATTATTACACGGCTTAGCGTTACGCCCTACTAACATGTTTAAAATTTATTACTTTTTCTTTTATCTTAATTATTTGGCCTATTTATAAAGTTGTGAAATTAATTTATTAATATATTCTTTCCACTGTTATTACAAGGTAGACATCATTTTACCTTTGTGTCCTAGAATTTCCATTGATTGTCAAGCATTGTTCTTTCTTTTCAAGTTACACAAAATGGCCTGCGTTGAAAATATACCGCCAAGGAATGTCGACTCAGAGATGGAGGAAGGCGAAATAATAGATGAACTCGATGATCTTTCCGATATATCCTCCGATGAAGAGTTTCTACTTCGCCAAAGGTTACATGTTCTGGAAACCTACAACAATGTCCTTGAAAGAAAGAAAGCCAACAGCATCTCAGTTGCGTCAGGTATATAATTTTGATTATTTGACATTTTTTATTTGGATGAGTTTACTAGTTATTGATGATTAGTCTGTACTTAATGTAATTTTATTGTCTTTTTTAATATTGAATATTAATATACTTTAGGAAATATTAAGTATAATGAAGAACTGAAAAGTTGGTTTGTACTTAATAATAATATGTAGCTTCTTTAATAAAATTGAAATTATTAGTTGTGGCCATACATTTCAAATATAGTTAAAACATACACAAATTGAATACTTGAAATTGTAGATCATCATAATATTAATGTACTTGTTTGAGAGATACAATAGGGAACATAATAATAATTATCATAACCATGTTCAATCTCCTGTAAGAGAGCATCTGCCAAGTTGCTTGTCATGGTTGAAATTGTATTTAGAACTGATACTAATTTTAGCATCTATTCAGACTGCAATATTTCATATTATAGACTAATTAAATTATGTAACATCACATCAATACATATATTGACAATCTGACAAAGATTTTTCATATCTCTGAATTAATGGTAAATTTGCTTATAATAATCTGTAATAGACATACATAAATTAAGATATTTTTGTATACAGTGGAAGATCTAAGACTTCTGATTTATATTTAATCAGTAATTGAAAAGAGGATGGAAAGAGCACATGGTGCTTAGGTAATTGTTAAATATTTATTTTAAGTTGTCAATATGATATTTTCTACACAGAATTAGAAGAGACCAGCCCACAATTGCTAAACACTAATAGGCAGATTAAAACTTGTACTAAAGAAAAAGGAAAAAAGGAGTTGACACCACTTCGAATTTCTGCTCGAAACAAAGATTACAAAAAAAAGGGACGCCGAAAGAAGAAACTACAAACAAAAATAATAAGTGACACAAGTGAAGAGTCAGATGATGAATATAGAAATAAAAGAAGAAAATTGGCTGATGCAGTTTCAGTACATAAAATTAAAAATGACACATCTTTAAGTAGTAGACTTAAAAAAATGCTTTATAAATCACAAGATTTAGTAGAAACCATAGATCCTACATCTGATAATTCTAAGGCAGTAGAAGCAGATAATTTAATTAATTCTCCTATTCTTGATGAAAGTTATAAATCTAACAATTTAATAAGTGAAGCAGAAAAATTTGTGAAAAATGCTGTTGAAATATGTGAGTTAATTGATTTGAGTAATGATGATGATGTCAAATCTTATAATGATCAAAAGCAAACACAAGATACTGTTGATTCAGGTATTATAGATAAAAATGGTGAAAACATTGTAGGTGACTCTGATGAAGACCTAGAATTATTAAGACAAGATGCACTTAAAACAAAATCTTCAAAGATTAAAGTGTCTCAACCACAAATTGAACCTGAAAATAAATTATTATCTGAAGATGATGATACATACACTGCTGAATTGAGATTAATTTGTCTTAAATCAACTTATTTAAAAAAAGCAATTGAATTGAAAAGAAAGCAAAAGTTAAAGAAAAGGCTTTCTCAGTCTTCCATTTTACATGATGAGTTTATTAATGGAGAAGATATATTGTCAAACCAAATTGATTCACAGAATAACACTGATATAGATTCTGTAGATATGGACATAGGATCTGATGGTGATGAAAAAATAAAAGAGTTAGATAATGTTAGTGCCAAAATTAATACAGTGAATGAAGCTATTATAAACGGTAATTATGATAAACATATCACAATGAAACCGAAAGATGACGAGTTGGAGGATGATGAAGATTTGTTAAGAGCCAAATTGTTGACATCTTTAAGTAAAAATTTACCTAAACTCATAGATCCAAATGTCATAAATACAATTAAAGAAGATACAGATGAAAAGCAACCAGTTTTAACAGATAAAAAACAAATGACTAAAATATCAGAGCAAAAGAGGTTTATTATCAAACTTGGAGATTCTGATTCTGAAGGAGAACATGAAGCAACAAAAAACTTAACAAAAATGCATATAAAACAACAGCAATCAGATTTTAATCAACAGCTTGATATGTTTCTAAAGTTTACACGTATGCAGGTTGAAAATAAAGAAAATCCAAATACACTACCAGCTGAAACAATAAAGCCTGCTGAAAAGTTTGTTGCGAAGGTAGGAATGTTTTGTTATGCTACTTTTGTTTGCTGATTATATTTACACTAGGCACAATATATAGTATAGATATTGTTATCTATACTATATACTATAAATTTACCTATAACATATGTAATTTATTTAAACTTATTTTAGAAATTATACAGTTCAAAATTTGTTTTTAATATTCCATTCCAGTTTGCTACTGAAATGGAATATTAAAAACATAGAGGAAATAGTATATCTAATTAGTTTTTGTGAAGTATAATTAATAATTTTCTAGTTTCTACTGCTAAAAAATATTTTACCTTAACAATTATTTATTATTCATTGGTAATATTATTCTAACTTGTTATTAAAAGCGTTTATAGAGCAACAATAATTTGAATATTATTTGTACTGTTATTAATTACATTATATATATTTTTGATTAGTTACTGAATTTAAACTACTTTTAATACCTTCTATTTAAAAACACAACTAACAATATTACATCAATTAATGTTGATAATGTTGTGCTTGAGTAATTGTCAAATTGTCTTTATTCAACTGATGAATGGATTTATTAAAAAAAATTTATGATTTTAGTCTGTAAAACATTTGCCTAAATCTGAACAGATTGAGTATAAAAATTTAGTAAAAAAAATGGCAGAGTTGGAGAAAATTAAGAAAGCCAGACAATCTGCAATGAATCTATTAAATAAACAGCAAATTGTCTCAAAACAATCATTGAGGCCTCATAATGATTCTATGGAACCTATTAAAAAATCAAACGATATGGATGAACAAATTGCTATATCAAGGTAATTATGAATGAAATCGTACATCTAAGTATCTTTATGAATGGTAATAAAAATATCTTTTTTGTTAGGAAAAAGATTGCAGATGAATCATCAAATATGCTTAGGCTAAAAGAGGAGGCGACAAAATTGTCTCAGAAGTATAAAATAGCCGCCACTGAACTCAGAAATATAACCACCGCCATTACATTAAATAAGAAACAGCAGAAGTCTGCACAGAATCGGTTATCAAAAATAAGATTGCAACACCTCGCTTTATTAAAAAGGTATGACTTACCACACTTTATAATTATTTGTAAATATTGTTTCATACATATTTCATATATTTTATTATTTTTCAGCTCAAACTTTAAACATTCCAGAAAAAATAATGCAGTACAAATAATTCAGGCTAATAATGAAAATAATAATACAAATAAAGTACAAAAAGAAAATTATACAACTGAGGAAGAACAAAAACACCTGCAGTCATTAAAGTCTGTGAAAGCTAGTGTTGCCAATGATATGAAGGATGATATATTCGCTCCAAGGTTGTCTATTCAAGTGGACATTACTAAAAATAAAAAAGTGGTTAGAATGCCCAAGAGCCCAGTAAAAGATACTAATAATGTAACAAGTACTTTTGACAGTGAAACAACAAATATTTCACATCAAAATATGTCAAATGAATCTGAGTGCAAAAATGCTGATAAGAGTATACAAAGAAGAAACAGTCGAGAAATTATTAATGACACTGATGGTAGTCGTAAAAGTGGTGATAAGAGTATACAAAGAAGAAACAGCAAAGAAATAATTAATGACAACGATTTTAGTCGTAAAAGTGCGGATAAAAATATACAAAGAAGAAACAGCAAAGAAATAATGAATGACACTGATTTTAGTCGTAAAAGTGCAGAGAAAAATATACAAAGAAGAAACAGTAAAGAAATTATGAATGACACTGATTGTAGTTGTAAAATTTGTGATAAAACTATACAAAGAAGAAACAGCAAAGAAATTATGAATGACACTGATTTTAGTCGTACAACTGCTGATAAAAACATACAAAGAAAAAACAGTAAAGAAATAAGTAATGACACTGATTTCAGCCATAAAAGTGCTGATAAAAATATGCAAAGAAGAAACAGTAAAGAAATTATGAATGACACTGATTGTAGTTGTAAAATTTGTGAGAAAAGTATACAAAGAAGAAACAGCAAAGAAATTTTGATTGACACTGATTGTACTCGTAAAAATGCTGATAAAATTATACAAAGAAGAAACAGTGTAGAAATTGTCAATGACACAATTCAAGTGCTTAAATGGAAGAAGAAAGATGCAGATGATTATAAATCTCCACTAGAAGCATTAGATGCAAGAAAGTAAGATAATATTTTGTTAGGGGTTTTTTTTACTAATTATTACATATTGCATTTATTATTACAGGGTCAATACAACTGCTTATTTACATTTTTGATGATTTAATAACATATTATTGCTTTTCATTAGGTATTATCAAACAAGAGAAATTGTAACTTACTATTATCCATTAGATCAATAGGAATGAAAACGTGGATGACAATGCGTACGCACATCGTTCTACAGTGCGATGTAAGTATGCATTATAATCTATCCACAGTTGTTTACTTCTGCATATAAATGTGTATTATTGATGCTTTTACAGTTGGAAGGAGGACCCGAATGCCTTTCTATGCCCTTTCGAAGTCGGAGGAAGTTGCAAGGACCCCGACTGCAAATATCTACACCTAAATACACAGTGATAACACTGACACACAATACTATATTCACCTAACCACATACTCATTGCTCAAACATATCCACTATATATTACACATATAAACACTACCCTGAACTTAAATCTCCTCCGACAGCAAACGGAATCTCCAATGATGTGTAAAGTATACAAAAAGACTTTTAAATAGCGTCTATAATAGATTTTCAATGCATGCATTCATCTATGTTTAATTCATAATTCATGAAGATAATTATGACCGTTTGTTAAGCGTACATATAATTATATAATAAGTATTATAATTATCTTAATCCGAATTCCATTTTGTGATAATGTAGATACTATAATAATTAAGGTGAATGTTATCAGTTAATTAAATGCCGTACTGACTTACCACAGTGCTTGTAGCTGTTTTCATCGTTCATAATAATGTTTTATATTTTCGCACCAAAGATCTTTAAGATTTATATATATATCTATTTTTATCAGACGCCACATAATCAGGGTATACACATATCGATTAAATTATTTTGCAATTTTGTTATACATTAAATGTTTGAATTGTTTAATAGGATTGATCTGTGTATGTCTGGTCCATTTTTTTTTCTTCTAGCATATATGTTGCGTTTTTAGTTGGCGTCGGTGGAGTCGTCTCATCGTCGGCAGTGGTAAGTTACAAGTAACTATATTAGTCAGTAGTGATCTAAATATCCTGCTAACTGACCGGCGACGGAGGCCAGCGTTGTTTATTGCGGTACGCAAAACTAGCTTTATGCAATTTTTTTATAATTACCTTAATAATTATAAAACCTAGTGTATACAATGTAACAAGTTCTAGTAAAAATAAAATAAGTTATTGTACATTTTTGTTTAATTTCAAATTTATCCTATATAAGAACCTATGCCACAAGGAGATGCTTAATTTGTTATTATTGTATTGTATATACAAGGGTAGTTGTAAAAAGTAAACCAAGCCGCAAACCAGGTAGAATACTTATGAAATTTAACCAAGAACAAAACTGATTTAAACTTTTACTTAATTAAACACGTGACTCTGCAGTTATGATGTTTTAAAAAATCCTAAGGTTTTCAACTGGCTTTTTTATTATTTAGTAAAGCTGAGTACCTGAGAAGCCAAAAAGTAAAGTGTGTAGCCAAAATTGTGTCCTGATTGAGATGGTATGGTGAGGTATTATTTTCTATTAAGTTTGTGTTTATTATTATTATATATTATAGCCTAATAATATTTATTTATTGGACATATAATATTAAATAAATATATATCAGTTAAAAAGAGTTTTGTATGGAAGTGTCGTCATTTTTTAAGCAAAAAGGATGAAACTTTTTCATTTGGCTTTTATTCGGTTAGGTTATTAAATATTTTTTTCATTATTTGGTCAAGGTCATTACTTTACGCGGACGAAGTCGCGGGTACGGCGGCTAGTAATACTATATAATAATATAGAGTTGAACTTTACTGGCTTAACTACTGACTAACTGTCGTATGTTGAAGTTAAAGCAATGAATATCTTGTGAAGTAGTAGGTACTAGTTTACTGGTAAACGCGAATAAAATAATAAGATTTTCATCTTACAAATAGACATTTTATTTAGACATTGTAAAGAAAATACAAAGTAAAATACTTTCCTTCCACACAGATACATACACTTAGATAAAAATATGTACGTATATTCTGGAATAAAATTCGTTATAATTTATTTACTCAAATCCCTTGAACAGATGGGAGATCACACCATGCAATAATTACTAGTAGATATAGATAAGTATTATTTTATTAACAAAGTAACTGTGGGCATACTAAGTAGAAAAACAGTCGTAATCCATAGGACTAAAAAGGACTTCGCATCCAAGTGAAGCATTTGCAACATAATAGACTATTATGTACTTATAGTAGTTGCTAACGATTATTATCTGAAATACATTTATTATATATGTAACATAGCATTTGCACTAGCAGCTTGGATGTGCTCCAAATGTACTCCAAAAGTACTGTCCTGAGTATAAATATTTAAATATGTATAATATGACAAGGTAGTTTACTTTAATCTGTTTCAAAAGAGAATTGTTAGCAAGTAGGCTATTATTTATGATCAATTCACTGGTCTCGAACAGCTAGTTTTTTTAAAAGGATTGAGACAGGAGACATGTATGGGAAAATTGGCGGTGAACGCCCTTATTCAACATTCTATCGGATTAGGATAACAATTTCTTATAGTATTTGCGATCATATTTGATTGCAACATATCTACATATAATTCGATATATTGTAATTTGCGGAATAAACATACACCTTATGCCAAACAGACAAACCAGGGAAAATCTTTGTAGGAATTCCTCTGGTTAGTCCGTAGACATTCAAATATTTAAAATGCACTCCGCATTTTAAAAAGTAATTTCAATGCAAAAGTTTAAGAGATTGCTATATCTAAGCGATAAGGCCGCCTTTTGTTAAACGGATTTTTGCAAGTGTTCTTTTTATACTTATTTATTCAGTCAGCAATATAAAGAGACATTATTAATATTAGATACATATATTATGTACCTACGTGTTGACATATGCTTCACTTAACTATTAAGGGACTCGGCATCCTCTTTCATAATACTTATACTGGACAAGAAAATTAACAGGTACAAGTGCCTATACCTCACGTATAAAAATTCTACAAATTCATAAGATTTGTTTGGTGTCACAAGCTCAATATATTATTTTCTAGGATTTCACATAAAATTCTCAAATGCCTTTTTTTCATTGAATAAATTTTTATAGTAAATATATTCTTTGTAATATAATCTGATAAAAATACTCGGGGTCCTTTAGGTTTTTTAATTAAAAACTAATATTGAATATAATATTACATATTAGGTAAATAAGAGTCATTATTCTATATTATATAATATTAGATTTACTCCGCGCTGGTGCGAATGGTACGGATGGATAACTTTTTTTAAACTTTTTTATGTAATTGGAATCACAAGCTGACGGCATGTCTGATAGTAAATTAACCGTCGTTTATATGCACGAACTGCACTAAGGACATTCACGTTATCATGTGACGCCTGTGATACAGCTAATTGCGTGTTGTGTTGCTATTCCGGAGGACTTCTCCAAATCCTGCGATTTCACTGCCTTGTGTCTCCCTCTTATGAAGCAAGCTGCTTGTCGGTCGCCTTGTGATTTATTCCTTATTATAACACAGGGAGAGTTTTATTATTGTATCTTTTAAGGATTTGCATCCGTTTCACTGGCACCAATGTATAATGCTCGGAGTACACTGACCAACTATATTATAGTTATTGTATATTACAAACAGCCAACGAGGCTAGAAATAGGATGGAAGAGATAGTAGTGTACAATGAGCCCACAGTTTAGACTGGATAGTAATAGTATCTACATTGGTAGAGAGTACAGATAAGCTATTGCAAAATTGCCTGTACAGGCATAAGGCTTAGATACAATTTAGTCTGCCTTATATTATCTAAAAGTCGAGTAAACTGTACAAATAACACCTCAATAGTTTAGTTTTATGATATCCTTTCACTATAGTTAGAACTTTTAAACCTGGGGCTTAATTATGTAACAATATTACTAACAATTCTCGTTGGCAACCATTTCTAACTTTGGTTTCAGTATTATAATTAAATATAAATTGTTGTATATATTGGAATTGGAACCGTACAATTTTAGCTTGCATCTGCAATTATTAAACTGACACTTGTGAGTTACAGCGTTACATGCTGGTCAAAATCCTGTGTTAATAATTTATAGATAATTGAATAAGTAGTTTTATTATATATTTATTGTATTAATGGTACAACAGGCTTTTTATTTAATATTTCATGAGAGAATGGTCACAAGAAGTTAACAAATATTTGTATATAGGTACCTAAGTATAATAATATTCATTCCGTTCCAATAAAACTTACAAGAAAGAAAAAAAGCCAATAAAAAAACAATAATTATATTAATATTCAATTAATTTATTACTGTTTTTTTATTGGTCGATTATACCATGTGCGCTGTAGCATGGTGCGGGTGACAGTTTCATTATCGTTTCGTTTCACTCTTAAAAGTTGCCGAGATTTACAAATTATGACTTAGTATTTCTGCTGTACCACATTTGTAATAAGTATAATGAATAATTAATAACTGTATTAATTTAAATATAGCAATTGATGAATATAAAATTAGTAACTGTCACCCACAACATGCTATGTATGTCAGTGCACACAGTAGGTATAATTTATTAAATGTTTCTAATTGTTTCATATTTTTTTATACACTGTGTTAGCAACGTAGGTTATGTCAAAATTGACTCTGGTATAAAATAACAGACTATAACATTATACTGCAGCTGGTTTTGTCTAATCTATAGAGGTGTTGTACAGCGGCGAGCGACGTGGCGTGCGGTCTATCTGAGCGTGTGCCACATGGCGACAGCCTTACGGGTCTCCTGCGCCATCTGCGCCCAGTGGCGACCCTCGGCGGCGGGCTCGGCCGACCCCACGCAGCACCACCCCACCACCAGCCCGCTGCCGCCCGTCAGCACGCACACCTATACATTACATGTTTATTTATTTAAACTTTAATGCATAAATATAATAAATAAATACAGCAAACATAACACGAAACAACGTATCACATCCTTACTAATTTTATAAACTCGAAAGTAACTCTGTTTATCTGTAATTTGATTCACAGATAGACCCTGAGAAAGTACATTTTTAGTGCAAAAAAAGGGTTGTAAGTTAAAAAAAATACATATCCCGTATTTTTTTTTAAATTTGCCACAATCGTCATGAATACCCGCCCGCCCGGAGTAGACGCCGGTGGTAGACGGGTACTGCCGGACTCTTACCGGCTAAAAACCCCAAGGTGTTCTTTCTCTTAACCTTCTTTTTAGGATGTTAATTAAATATAAATAAATATGTCATTCAAAGTAGGAAAAATAAAATGAGAGATGAATGATTGTATGGAAATTCGTCATCAGGGGGTTCGTCAAAAGGGGGTTCTCTACGAGTCAACCATAAAGCAAACTGAGAAATTAGTAAGAAGCGATTTTGCGAGAGTCTAAGACCTAGAATAACGTCAGCCCACAAAATTAATATATTCAATGTTGGTTCCATACAAAGTGTTTTAGCCGATTCTTCAGCTAGCGCGGCAGAAGCAATTGGCTCAGTGGTGAAGTGACATAGTTATTAGTTGTAAGTTACAATGGGACTGGCATATACTTTTAGTAACCAAGTTTACCAAAGACCTTAAATATCAAATAAATAAAAAAAAAATAAGCTTAAGGTGGTTTTTTTTTATTGTTGATAATGGAATAGTGCACCCGCCTGCGCTAACGGTTTACGCTGGCGGGGCACTAGTGGAGGATGATAAGATGAACATGAGGTCAGGTCAGTTAATCTATCGTGATAAATTCACCAGCAATTTATCATGATGGTTTCCAAGGGAACCGCTTGGAGGTCAACCCGACATAGTACATTGTTAGCAATGGGGTCATCAACCCACATTACTAACAATCCCCTTTCCCCCGCTTAAGGTGGTTAACCACCGTTATATGATACAGGTACAACTTTAGTCAAACTTTACTTTAGTTTAATAATAACAAATATGGAGATTTTATTTTATTATTATTATACGATCAAGAAAATTACCTCGATGGATGCCTCTTGCAGGTTCCCAGAGGGCAGACTGAAGGACAGCGCCTCGTTCCATACGGGATTGTTTATCTCTTTCCTATTCGTTTTCTTCTTTTTTACACGTTTACCATTCACCAGCAAATACACCTTAACATACACATCTGTAATTTAAAAGTATTTTTGAATACTATTTAATTTATTTTTTAATCAAAATAAAACATTTCTATATCAATATAAAATAGGTAAAGTATTAAATTATCAGCGGCAAACATATATCTGTATACATATATATTACCTCACGAAAAATAACTACTGTTAAACAATATAGACCTTAATAATGTTTAAATTTATAATTAACTAGCAGCGCCTGCGGTTTCACGCGCGTTAAATTTATAGCTTCATTAAAATGCATTTGTAGTTTTTGCGTGAAAAAGTAACAAACATCCATAAATCCAATAAAACTTTTATAATATTAGTAACGTTTAAATTATAAGTTTGAACATTATTAAGGTTCTACTGTCAAAGACTACTTTACTTCTATAATTACAGGCACTGACAATCGCACATACAATAAACAAAAGAGTATATGCCTGTGGAGTTAAATACATGGTGATGTCAGTATTTTTTTAAGCAAAATTTAAAAAAGATTTAGCCTTCTGCACTCCTTCTCTATATAAATTATAAATGTGCGATTTTATTCTCCTTCATGCTATTTATGTAAAAAGAGATACAAAGTTTTTGCTTTTTGTATTAATATAAAGATATAAAAATACCTAGGTATTAATTTAAATAAAAATTGAAGTATATAGAGTCCATCCAACGCACCTGCACTATTAGGCACACGCTTTAAATTCTAACTAACACTGCATTAGATTTGGTTGGAAGATATTTCTTTTAGAGATAATCGTTCCAGCCTTGTTCACATAGGTACTATTTTAAGTTACAAAAACAATAAAGAGTATGTTCTACATTTAAATATGAATTAAAAAAAAAATCGTATTCGCTACACATTGAATTTTTCCATTCCCGCCATTTTTACAATACATACATACTGCCGAACAACTCGTTCAGCTATTTCGAGCATGTCTGGCACACCGATACATACCTTTGAAATGGCGCGAAGTGAAAATAATCTTCATCCCAAAACCAGGCAGAGGTGATTATACGCAGGCCAAATCTTTTCGACCAATTAGTCTCACATCGTTTTTACTAAAAACTTTGGAGAGACTATGCGACAAAGAAATCAGAGACCACAATCAAACCACTCCACCCTAACCAACATGCCTACAGCGAAGGTAAATCAACGGAATCAGCACTCCACAGCGTAGTAACCCGAATTGGTAACTCGTTACACTCAAAGCAGCCAACACTAGGTGCCTTTATAGACATCGAAGGGGCCTTTGATAAAACGAATTTTACCAGCATAAGCCGGGCTCTTGCCATACATGGAGTACCTTTAACTATAATAGAATGGATAAGCAACATGCTAAAGAACCGTGCAATTCAGTTTACCGTTAACACTACCACACGAGGTATCGTGAGCAGAGGATGTCCACAAGGAGGGGTCCTATCACCTCTTCTTTGGAATCTAGTTGTTAACGAACTCATTGAGGAGCTCAACGACAACGACCTCTACACGGTAGGGTATGCTGACGATATTGCCATACTGATAACAGGAAAATTTGAGGGAACTCTATGCGACCGCATGAGAGAAGCCTTCAGAACTGTAGAGATGGTGTAAAAACCACGAACTCTCGGTAAATCCTTCCAAAACAGAACTAATCATGTTTACTAACAGAAGAGCTCCTGGTACCTTCAGGACACCGAAACTCTTTAACACAGACCTTAATCTAAAAGAAGAAGTCAAGTACCTGGGAGTTATACTGGACAGTAAGCTCCTATGGAACAAACATCTTGACCACAAAATTAACAAAAGTACCATAGCATTTTATCAATGTCGAAAGATGCTAGGAAATAAGTGGGGTATTACACCTAAAATAACACTCTGGCTATACACAGCTGTGATAAGACCAATGCTCGTGTACGGGGCCTTGGTTTGGTGGACAAGGTCGAAACTCACGACCACAGTCAACAAACTAAGGTCCTTTCAAAGACTTGCATGCTCTGCAATCACGGGATGTATGAAAACTACCCCAACAACAGCAATTGAAATAGCCCTCAATATAACACCCCTCGATTTGTACATACAACAGGAGGCAGCCATAGCTGCCATAAGGCTATACCATCTTGGTCTATGGGGCAAAAACCATAATAGTTCTCACACTCACATCCTGAACCAAGCAATCGAACACGAACCTTTGATTGCAGCTCCGTGTGACAGAACTCAAACTTATCACTCATTTAACAGAAAATACCAAATACAAATGAATCAGGAGGAACAAGACCAATCTGCTGTAAATGAACTGCGAATATACACAGATGGCTCCAAAACACATAACGGTTCAGGAGCAGGAGCCCACTCCCTTGACCTCAACATGAACTTATACATACCACTCGGCCCACACAGTTCGATTTTCCAATGTGAATGCGTTGCCCTGACTGAGGCAGCACGAACAGTGCTAAAGTTAGGTGTCAACAACTTCAACTTAAAATTTATATCGGACAGTGCAGCCGTGCTAAAAGCACTACAGAACAGGAAATCAAACAACAGATTAATAATCGAATGTCACAATATCATGGATAAAGTGGCAGAGCACAACGGTGTAACCATCCAGTGGATAAAAGGGCACAGTGGATCATATGGAAACATGACGGTAGCAGGCCCCCTCCCGCTTCTGCCAATACCATTCTCACAATTTCGATCCTGGATTCGCCAAAGATCCACTGAGATACAAAACCAAAGATGGAAACAAACCACCGATTGTAAGCAATCAAAAGTGGCAATTCCCAGAACAAATCAACGAATAACAAAACGCCTAATAAATCTGGACAGGCATAACATAAAAACAATGATCGGGACAATGACGGGCCACTGTCCCTTAAACAGACATTTGTACACAATAGGTGCTACAGACAGTCCCCTATGCCGGGGCTGCTTTGTAGCCGAGGAAACGGCCGCTCACGTAATCCTGGAGTGCGCGAAGCAGTGACCACACAACGAAATCAAATCCTCGGAACGGTGAGGTCGCTCCGAGAAGCCTGCGAAGACACCAGGAGACTTCTGCGCTTCTGGGAGGAGCTTGGCTGGCTACGCTAGTAGCCTGGCTCTACACGCACAACGGCCCGAATGAGAGGCTAAGTGCGGAAAATGGAGTCCAACCGACATTGACATTGACATACATACTGCGCTTCTGTAAAATGCACAGAGTATGTTATATATATGTTATAAATATACTCTACCAAGGTTACAGTCAAATTAGACCATAGATAATATGTACTACAAAAGATACAAACCTAAAGCATCTTTTCCTTCCTGTGGCGGTAGAAGGTTCCTTGCCTTCAGGACCACTACGGTAAGCCGCTCGGCTGAAGGCAAGTAAGACAGAGATAGCAACAACTCCTGCAACTCCTCAGGAGGACGTCTCTCCCTCGACAACTCGGCCCACACTTCCGCTCCGCCTGCCACTTCTACGCGAGAGAGTGGCACTTTGGCTGACCCCATCACTTCATTGCGAGAGAATCTGGGTAAAATATACGTACCTATGAATTAATTCTGGACAATGTACATGGCAATTCAACTCCATAACTAGTAACATACTAAGATATTTTTTAATAACAATACATATTATTTTAACTGTACATTTTTTTTGTTTGTGTTAAAAAGAAATGTGTTTAATAACATTACTTTAATATTTTAAAAAGTAAAAAAAACAATAAAATTATGTCAGTGATACAACTGTGTAGTTACCGTAGTAAATGCTTAGCTTAGTTTGGCATAAGATGACAGTATGAATTGTACCGAGTTATAATTATTTTTAATACTGTCTACAATAGCTTCTTATCAGAAGATGTACGTACATTTATTAAAATTCTACAAATAATATTCTTACCTGTCATAATCGAACACCTGCAGTAACAGCGTCTTGTCACCGAGCTCGTCGTGAGACACAGGAAACTTAAAGTGCTGATCGAAGAAGGGATTCGCCTCGTTCCTGTGTACGGGTGTTTGCCTCACGCGCGTGTCTACTTCGGGTAATAAAGTTACACGCACGTAGGGGTCGTTGAAGCCACCAGCCTCATAGCCGGCCAAGTCATGGGCTGCGAAGGATTTATTTCATTATCTTTTTAATTCTCAAAGTAATCAGTTATTAATGAAACTGGAATGAAAAACACGCTGATGGCGACCTGATGGTAAGTGGTAATAGTCGCCTATATACAAAAATAGTAGTATATGTATATACTGTTGTAGTTCTGTGGCTAGTTCGGTGCTATTTATTTCTGTTTGATTATTAGTTGCCTTTAGACTACATGTACTTTCACACGTGATCAGGATCATGCGCCATCATGCGCGGGAAAGCCTGCACCCGTATACGTGAGTCGTGACTGATTGGTATTATCTTTTTTTGTGTTCTTTCTATTGCGCGTGATTGTGCGTATATAAACTTCCTTTTAAAATTTTATTTTATTATCCTTTTATATTATTGACTTTTCTTTTCAAAAACACTTTTATAATTACTAACAACTCTGTAATTATGTCTTTATACTAAATATTCAGATGTTCGCCATTTTGCGAGAAATAGGTGCGAAGTTTACGTTCTCGTTCTCTTTGTCTGTTTTCACATTCACTCTATTTGCCGCGAAAAAGTGGATTAGCGGGTGACAGATCGTACCTGTAAAGGCAACTGTTGAATAGATAGAATTGAATAGATAAAACTGATTAAGAGCATCCTATCCCAGATAGTAGTGCCTTAGAGTTTTCAAACGTGAATCACATGCCATCTTGTGACGACTTACCTTCGATGAGATGAACTTCCAAATCAGATCTATCGAAGTCATATTTCAGGCGAAGATGGATTCTTCCAAGTGACGGTCCAGCCCCTTCCAGTTCAATAACAAGAGGGGCTTCTCGTTTGGTATACAGGTCCGGCTGGAGGGCCCCTAGGGCGCTAATCGCCGCACCCGCACCTGGACTCAAAGGTCCTAGGCCGCTGCTGCTTTCCACCAAGGAATTGCTGCGGTCTATCCGTCTGAAAAATAAAGGTCAACATTGAAGGGTTATGTTGTTAATTGTAAATGGTATTTATGGCTAATGACTATGAATAGGATAGTCAAGCATATGGGATAAGCTAAAAAAATAATTTAGTTTTTTCTAGAATTTAATATCTTAGAATTCTAGAAAAAAATTACCATAGAACAACCTGAAAACTATATATATATTATATATTTTAAATTAATATTACCAAATATAAATACACCTCCTGATTAATAGATTTCTTTTAGATAACATTATATAATACAGAAACAATGCAATTTAATATTTAATGTTTCACTTTGCATTAACTATTCATTCTATAAGGCAACATCGTGAAATATTTCGTCTAATATACCTAATGACAATACACTTGCTTATCCATAAAGTTCCATATAGATCAATAAACTTATATCGCAATTTCCCAATCCATTACCCGATAGAATATATAGATATCTAGGTAGGCACCTAAATGATATACGTATCACTATACCTATCACGAATTTAGAGTGCTAAGAGAACAGGAGTGAGTTGGGAACGCGTCGAGGGCGACGAAAATTGAGTTTATTTCAATTTGCGAGCTTGCATCCGTACTTTAAGGGCCGGATTTAAGAAATAGCGCCCTGTAAAACCAATACTTTATTTAATGATGTAAACGGTAATAAGTAAGTAGTATATTTTTTTATTGTACAAGATATATGTAAATGGAATAGATTATTTTTAATTAATAATTTGATAAAATTGTTATATTGCATAGAACAAAACTTGAATGAAATTTCTTCAGCAATATGAAATGTTTGATATAGCTTTGTAATTTGTATTTAATAAAATATATATATATTAATGAAAAACATAAACAGTGACACACATAACAGAAACATATAGTTGAATATCTTTATGTAATTTTAAATATAAGTATTTTTTGCTATTTCTTTCAATTAAGTATATTAAGGTTAGTATAATTCAGATAGATATCTAATCTAACTTTGCCAGTGATTATTTATTAGTAATCTTAAATAAAGAAACTGGCAAAGGCATTGATCAACGTTGAAATTACAAGATTTTTATATTAAACTAACGTATGAAAGACGACGGATATGAAAATCTGCGCCCTCGTTATTATCCCTAAATCCGACCCTGGTCCGGGTACTAGCAACAGATTGATTCTCGAGCGGACACGCGACTGTTGTGCTCGATATTTGTGCGTATTCGAGCGCGAGAATGTAGGAAAATGGGCGAAGATATTTGAAGAGGTTTCCGAAATACGAAAAACAGATTCGATGAACAGTGATTCGAATGACTTTTTCGAGTGATTCCAATGACAAACAAGCTGACGGCCCAACTGATGGTAAACGCTAACCGTGGCCTATACGTATATTCGTAAATAAAAAGCATCATGGATATCACGTTACCACGTGCGCCCGTGATACCAATCAAGCGTTGTAATTTAAGAAGACTAAGATGTCCTGTAATTTCACTGCCTTATACTATACCCTTTAACCGAAATAGCTTAACTAGTAGGTAAACTGCTTAGGGACTGAAATAGTTGAGATTACCGTACTCACACAGACGAAATTTTAACCTTATTTTAATTTTTACAAGGTCTACCTTGTTAATAGTTAAGAATTGTTCCACTGGTCTGTAAATTTACACTTCTACCTACACCAGATTTCTTGCGGTATTGGCAAGAAGATGTGATGATTTATTTATGAACATATAGTTTTTCGATATAAATGTCAAAGGCTTTAATTTTAAAGCGTTGCAAATCGTTTTCACGCTATTTGTGTATCATCTTATTTTACATATCAGTATTTTATTCCTATATGTTATCTATTATAGAATTTATAAGTCATGCAATTATAAATGGATGTTCCATACAGCATAAAGTATCGGCATAATGGGATAAAGGCAATGCAATTAGATAATTATTATTAACGAACTCAATACGTACATTTCTATAAATTTGCGCTACTGTTTAATTTTGAATAACAGTTTTCTGCATCTCTCAACAAAGCTTTAAACCGAATTTTGATATCGGCACCCAAATATAGATGTTTATAAGTTAAAGAAGCACATTAAATTAGTGTAGTGTACCAATGTACGACTACTATGTCGTAGTGTCTAAACGACAGGGTCATTTTATTTAGCTAGAGCTAAAGTATTTCCAATTGCAGATAAGGAAACTTTTACAACTACTCTACAGGCACTGCCAGCTGCGACTGAAGCTATATTTACACCATTAGACTAATGAGATGAAGTTATCAAATTGGACCCTAATAAAAACTGTGGTAACTATTTTTCTCTCGAGAATCATTAAATTTCTTTATTAGTATTCTATGGTATTGAATACTAATAATCTGTCGCAGTTTCGACCGGGTTCAGTTAAATTTAGCACATATTAAGAGAATAATTACCTTTTAAAAAGCAAAATATTTTTAAAAATTGTTAGTATTACCAGAGTTTACTCTTCTCATAACGAAATACGTTCTCTCTCCATGATATTAATATAGACACGCAAAGATTTCTGCAATTATTCATTAGCAATAAAACACGGGACTAAATAGGTTTCTTCTTGGAGACGTTTACAACTACTGAGGTACTGCCCACGGAAGCTGTACTTAGGCCATTAAACTAATGAGATGACGTTAACGAATTGGACCTTAATAAAACAAAGTTTTATTTATAAAATACGTAAAAGCTGCCTACTCAGTTATAAGGGCGCTTTTGATCACAAATTCAATTTAAGGCACGTCCGTAATCAGGGAGGTCCGGACGTAGAGATCTGATAAAGGAATCCTTTAAAGGAATTGAAGTTATATCTGAACAACTTGCAATTGGCAAGAAATTTGTTGGTTTTACAATCGGCAAGACTCAGGTAGTGGTAGCTACTTACGCTACAGATAACGAGATTACTTAGATATCTATATAATTTGAAAGCGTTGTGGCCTAGTGGTTAATGCCCTGAATTATACACAAGAGGTCATAAATTCAAATCTGGTCGACACAAAAAAAAACTATGTGTATCAATTTATATTTCTGACTGACTCTTCGATGAAGTAAACTAATCCTCGAGATGATGATAGGCTCCTCCCCTGTCAAGTTTGGTCCAAATATACCCAGAGGAGTATGGGCATGGCTGGCGTGCCCATACCCCTCTGGGTATAACAATGCTTCTCAGTTGTCCATTTAGGTTAGTAGTCGGGACGGTATGTTCAATATAATTCTAATAAAAATCAGCTCTACTCAGCTTACGACGACTGGCTCATCCCTTTACGAGGGTGAGTATGACTCACCCTCATGAATGAGTGCTGATTGCAGAGACTAGTATGATCAGCAACTTCAATTTGTAACTAACAACTCTCATTTGCAAACGAGTAAAATCTACAATTTCCCGTCATGTATTTAACAGGGTCAATTGAGAATCCTACAACTTAGCTTGCATCTGCTATCAAATGGTCTATACAAAATTGCAAACCTTCTACTTTAAATATTAAGAGCATGATCATTACGACTAATTTACTTTATTATTAAAAAAAAAATCAAATAAATACATAATTTAGATTTATACGAATTTGTGTTATTTGGTAGCGTGTAATCAGAGAAATTAAAGTAAAAATAGTAGTAGTACGATATTTGTTTGTTTCTCTTGGATGAAACTGTATTCGAAATCAACAGTTTAATAAATTATTACTCAAAAGTTATTTTATAATTATCAAAATTGAATTTATTTCAATAAATTCAATTTGATTCAATTCTTTTATTCAGCGATCATATTTGGTAGAGTCGATAGTATTTAGAAATGACATAAATGACTTTCAGTTTTAGATGTATGTATTACTAGAGTAAGACTAGAATTTTTACTTGAAATTTTATATTATCTATACTTTCAGATAGATAATATAAAATTTCATCAAAAACAGATCTTTAAGTTTCTTTTTTAAATCCAATTTACAGATAAATCAATATGTTGTTCAATGACCACTAGTACGGTATTAGCACTATTAGTGAACTGATTACGAATGTTGATGATGATAAAACGTAATGAAACAATACAATCTAGTCAGCCGTGATTGTAAACGATTAAAGTATTTTTTTTATCATAGTACCAAATATACTTTTATTTATAGCATTTACCTTGGTGGCATAAGCAGTGGTGACAAACATCTCGGTGGTAGATGTCTGGGGCTAGAAGGCGCTGGTGAATCTGCTAATGATGCTAAGGAGCCGTGAGCTAGAGGAGCAGCTCGGACGTCCAGGGAGGCTGCTCGTAGAGGTGATGGCGACCGAGGAACTCCAGTAGTACCAGCTTCGAGGGTACGGCCGTCAGGAGCGAAGGTTCGAATCGCTGGCGAAGAACCCCGATGACTCTGAGAATATAAGAATAGTGATATGAATGACTAGTAGTCTCAGAGCCGGATTAACCATTAGGCAGAGTACCATTAGGCAGAGTACGCAACTGTCTACTGTCGAAGATTCTATTCAAAAAATGTATACGTAGTCTAGAGGTTTAGCACACCGCCTCACTTCTTTGCGGTTTCGATTTCTCGCTTGGTACAGACACGGTATTCACGATAATTGTTGGTTTCGCCCTGGATGTTTACCATCTATAATATTTATATATTTACAAAAATATGTATCTATGTATTTATATCAGTTGTGTAGTACCTATAATACAAGCTCTACTTTGCTTGGGACTGGATGGCGTTGTTTGGATGATGGTAACCGCTACACCACCGAGGCTGTAAAATCTTATATTTACCCATTCACACATAAAGACATCTCTGATACGCTCTATCAGTAAGCATCTAACAAAACTCTGATCACATATTACAAAGAACATATTGAAACATTAGAATTAATTTAAGAATAAATTATATTTCTCCCTGGAAACCAATATATGTTATAAATTCCTGGTGATTTTGTCATGATGGGCTAACTGACCAGACCTCATGCTCATATTATCATCCACCAATGGGTACACCATTCCATTATCATCAATAAAAAAAATGTCATTAGAATATTTTTTTATCGTAAAATGCCTTTACGCATAACGCCGGTGTTAAACGATTAAGTACTTTCTTATCTAAATAACGATATTTATATCTATAATATACAAATACGAAAATGTTGATTTTGATATCTGGTATACATTTCTGTGTTCACATTGAAATAAAATTTATAAGTAGATATTAATGGAAGATAAACAACATGGCAGCACTTAAAAACGCTGAAGCGAAGTGCTTTTATATCGCGTGAGGCTACGCTTGGTCATTAGATGGGCTACATTTGTGTGGTTTGTTTTTGTACTCATATTTTCAAGTGTTGTTAAATAAAGCTGAAGTGATTCTTTTATGCCACGTTGTTTTATTCATTTAACAATGTTGACCTTTCATTAGATGCCTACTATATCTACAAATAATTTAAAATTTTATTTTTTTCTGGTGTTATAAATACTAAAGACTAAAGACAGTCAGAAACAGTCTTTCTGTTCTAAATATAATATTAACGTGTGTGTTTAGAATAAACAGAAACACGTTAATTATTTGTATAACTTTCACTCTTCACTATTATATTAATTCTTGTCAGTTCCTCAAAGAAAAAGATACCTCTAAATTGTAACGACAACAACAAAAAACGGGAGAACTTTTATTAAAAGAACAGAAGAATTTTCAACACATCAGTACAATTTTTTTTTTAATTTAGTGTTTGCCAGTCTGTATCAACTAACCTATGTATCAACTGCTAGGTCTAATTTAAAGTAAATTCTCCATTTTAATGCATAAAAATATCTTATATCTGTGCGAAACAGTGAATTGCCAGTGTATAACAAAGACTACATTATTTACATATGAACAATCTATACCTATACGATCAGTACCCATGGATAATGTAATTAATTTAAATAAAGCCATTATAATTACTAATCAGAAGATTACATGCAAGCAATGGTGATTTACTGCTGTCAGATAATATCACATACAGTAGTAGTATAAAGAAATTCTTTATCTGGAGTATACAATTTAATTTATATCGGAAAATCAGATATGATCATGCATGAATCGTGTTATTAGGTTAATTAAAGCTATTATAATGACTAATCAGAAGCTTTATAAAGTGCATGCAAAATGAGGTCGTAGCTGAGTATTATGAGCGAAACTCATCATTAATGCCTAATGACTAACATAGTACCTATATGAAGAGACAGAGAGACTATGTAATAAGCATGAATAAAGTACAATGTTTAGAGTTAGTTTATATAGTACTAGCACAGATAATATAATGGTACTAGTAACATGTCCCGGCTTGACACTGATGCATTACAAATTTTTGAATTTCTTGGCTTTTTCTATATTATAACAAGTATGTATTATATATATAAACGTTCCTCTTGAATCACTTTATCTATTGCTGAAATCCGTTGGTAATTTAAAAGACATTATAAGATACATTTCAATGGTAACTTATATTTTTAATAGAATATAGGTGATTGTTAGTGGTGTCAGCGATTGCGAGTATCTACCTAACACAAATTGGATTTACATTGCAATTAGGTGGAAAATATAAAATAATGTGTCTTATACATTAGAAAATAAAGTAGGCTTTACTCAAAACAAAGCATTCTGTGGTAGGATACAACTATTCATATTGCTTTACCAACATCAACGGCTACGTAAAAGACGAGTGAAAGTTGTGGATTTTCAAAAAATAAACTCCTAAAACTGTTAATCTTTTTGATATTGAAGTCTTTAATTTATGTACCTAATTTTGTAGATACTAATTAATTTAAACCTTCAATATTCCTTTTCTAATTATATCATAAATGCCGTAAATAGGTACGTGAAAAATATGTAGACTGTAAATGTAACATATATCTTACATAACAACCACAGATAAGATAATATTAGGTACATAGAATAATGTAGGAGAAGTAAGAAAAAGTCTATAAAAAATTAAAACAAATAAGCATAATAGAAAATAATTGGGTGGTAATTTAAACTGTAAGATTGAAACTCTCTTTGAAAACAAACTTTGGAGTGCTTCTTGCAATTAATTAGCTTCAGCATATTCTGAGTAGAGGTATCGATAAGAGAATATTGTGATAAAAACTATTTGCAAAAAACATATGGTCTTCTATATTTAGGTAGGTAATAAGGAATATATTTTTTAAATTGTTTTCTGTTGCTTGTACTGTTGCGATAACCTTTTTGCATATTATTTTTGTATTGCTGGGGCTTCATATGGTTTCTTTTGTATTAATAATTGTATTTTTAACCTTCTACTATTGTGTAGGTACTGTTTCATATACTCTATATTTTTATATATTGTATTTGTTTAAGCTATGTCAATATATTATTTCTTTTATGTTATTTTTTCCGCCTTGCCTTTCATATAGTCCATTGTCTATGGAAAAAATATTGTCTTTACTTGAGGTTTCAATATAGTATCAGATAGTTACTTACAGTAGCCCTGGAGGTTCCACTGTCCAGGCTGCTCTGAGAGGAGATAGAAGGCGTTCGGGTGAGGCGCGCATGAGGCAAGGAACTGGCGGTGCGCTCACTCAGAGGCTGCACGCGACAATGCTCTTTTGAGATCAGCATCTCCTGTAAATAATAAAAATTATTAAGCTGTGAATTCCATGTCAGATATTTACTAAATTTGCATGTGAAATTATCCTTGTAATAATTGTTTGTCTATAGTCTACCGTGAGAAGGGGTATAGCTCTATTTATAGCTTTTTTATTATTTCTGATGATATAATTATTTCTGTGATTTTTTTGTGTAAAAGTCTACAATTAACAAGGTATTAGCGATAAAAATTCGTGCAATTTGAAATAGACCGACAGTATAATACCTTGATAAGTGCTTAGAGGTACATTTTCTAAAAAAGTGGGGTGTGGAATATCTCTTCTGGCAGGCGCAAAGTAACATCTGTGTTTGGATGTATGCATGAGATGTACTACGGGCGTCATATAATTACGTCATTTTCTTGGCACTCTTCGTGTATAAGTAGGTATAGTCTATGGTTGCAACCTACCACCAGGATGGCCATCCGCTTGTTTGTCATTTCGGTTAAATAAAAAAAACAGTACTCATTTCGTTTAATGTGTAAATTCCTAGATAAGCATCAACTAAAAATTTTTGTAATTTACAACTTGATACTACACGTGTAAAGCCGGAAACAACAGCTATTATTACTATACGTTGTTTACTTTTAATTTTATGTCATCTACGTTAAATTTTGCTCAACGTCTTATTATAACTCAGATGTATGTATGTACACATAGATACATGGCGTAACGGTTAAACTTTAATTAAAGTTTAACATTAATTGTCCCGAGTAACGAGACAGTAGCCATCAAAATGTAACGTAAGTTTAATGAAGCAATCCCACCCGAGGGCGGGGCACCCAGCTGGACTTGGATGTATTATATATGCTCCTACTACGAACATAAGTGGTTCTGAATTTTTAAAATGGTCAGCATCCAGCTCTTAACAGCAGCCTACAACCATGATGATATTATTACAAGGTTTTTGTTATAGAAATACGATTTTTGCCGACAACTTGACGTTTCATTAGGAAATTTATTTTAATACTTAACGTTACTTCAGGGCAATAGATGGCGTCGTATGTCTTTTTAAATGGTGATCTTAAGTTTATACCGATTTTAAAAAACTGACAGATTAATACATCGTTTGGTTGAAAACAAAGACTAAATTTAACAAAATTTATATTATACTAGCTCACCCCGCAAACGTTGTTATGCAATATCAATTAAAATCGCTTTTAAAAAATAGGGGTTAATAGTAGAGGGCGAAAATTTGGAGTGGTATGTATGTTTTTAATGGCGCATTATAGAAAACTTTTATCTTAGGGGTATGAAAAATAGATAGTGGCCGATTCTCTGACCTACTGAATATGCATACAAAATTTCATGAAAATCGGTAAAGTCGTTTCGTAGGAGTATATAATATTGTGACACTACAATTTTATATATAAGATAAGATGTGACGACAGAGTTCAAAGTCACAAATAGTGGTAACATTTGTAACAGGTATCCTATGACATGTAAAGCCATCAAATTAATGTAAACGTGTATTGCATTATGTATTCCTTTACCTCAATACTTACAGTTATTATTAAATTCGTTATTCCAATAAATAAGTCAACTCTAGTTGCCTTTAGGTAATGTAAATATAGAATATGTTTTCCGGAGATATTATCAACAACTTTATATAGTAACAGTATATAGCCGTTATTACAGAGTAAATATTATTGAATTTATGTCCCCTAAGATAATATTTACTATTCTGTACTACACTCTACATGAACGTGACTTTACCTAGCTAACCTTGCCTTGCATATGTATAAATATTTATACCTACTCGACGAAATGTAAGCAGGTCGAGTGTTAGGTTCACCTAGAAAGGATCCAGCTGACTAATGAATAGATCTACCATTATTGTGTTTAGATTTGTTTGCAACAAAATCATGCTATTGAGTAAATAAGTAAAAACCTTTAGTTTTATATAAAGTATATGGGAGTATTCATAAAATCATAAATTTGTTCATGCTACTCGTACTTTATCACTTAATAATTTATTCTTCACAAGAACTTAATTAATATGAAACAATTATTAACATAAAGCATTAGAATATAGTAAGTTGTTAATTTATTTTGTGTATAAAGAGTCTCAAATATATAGCGATTAACTGAAATAGTGCTTTTGAGAGGTTTAGTAGCCGATAGAGTAATATGAAGTTATCTTAGCATATTTTTATTTTTAATTGCCTAAATATTGATAGCTATGATTGTATTTTAAATATTATACTGTTTCATTATGCATACTGAATAGTATAGTAATATAAATAATATTTATGCAAATAAACAAAATATTAGCACTTAAAAATAGTCAATCGTCTTTTTTTATTCTATGCAGATTCATCAAAAGAAGAATGAGCAAACATCTTACGTGTAGCAGCTCCTTTAAATGAATCAAAATAAAGTATGAATACAATATCAAAGGAAGACAATATAGAATCAACGTGAATAAGTAACAATCAATCAACTGATAACGATAATTATGTGCTAAAATAAAAAAAAGCCTGTCTGCATTTTGTTATAATAATAATAGTGTATTCAGACACAGACTCAAAGAAAAGAACAGGTAAGATCTTAATCAAATAATAATAGGTTCACACGAGAAGCATCATCATCATCAGATAAAAAAAAAACAAGATTATCGAAATGTATTAGAAAAAAAGAAGAAAAAAGTTACAATACAGTCGAATTCAGAACGTGCTTATTTTTTACAGTCGGTGAAAAAGGTTGCTTAAAAGATGTTTTTTAGTTGTCAATTTCTTAATTACTGAGATAAACTTTATTAAGTATATACATATATACTATGTGTGATTAATAATGATGAATATATATGAATACGCACACTAGGACTGCCGTGTGACTTGTCATCACCAAAGCTGTCTGTTGAGTTGTGACTTTGCCCACTGGATGCACTGGATGTGCGTTCTCTGGCCGCTCTCGCCCACGACTCAAGCCGCTTCTGCGCCGCCCACACTCCCGGAGGGCCGAGTCCACTCATTGTGTGAAACTCACACTACACTTATATGTTTATACTCTCACATCACTACAACATTACACTTTAGGCCTTATTGCGAATGTCTGTTAGGTTCAATATCGTTGTTTTATTCTAATTGTGCTGATAATACTGGTTTCTGAAAGTTTATGTAAATGTAGGTTTTGCAGATTTTTCATCATATCTAACAAAAAACGTAAGTCAAATTTATAGTCTCAACATTTTTTGACTCTTGATATTTAACTTTGTAATAAGAGCTTTCGTTCATTAGAGAAATCGCGCAACTTGTCTATTTTTTTTTAAATAATTAATAATTTTTCCATAACTCTGTTCATAAATAAGTAAAACCGTGGTTCGGTATTATAGCAAACTAGAGCGTTAATTATGTAATAAGTTAAACTATCGCTATAACTTGTATTTTGATGTTAAATAAAGTTAGAAACTTAAAAAGAAAAACGCAAAAGGATGGCCTAACTGATTACCCAATTGTATCTAGCTTTCTTAGAAATGTATACATGAATATTATATCATGGAGGTGTTAAAACAATTGAACGTTGGAAATTAATCCTTATAAGCATAAAAGGAAAAATCATTATTTAATGAGCTAGTAGAGGGCTCGTCGCTGTTATTGGGGGTCACAGACAGTTTTTGTACTGCGTGGGCGCCGGTTGTACGCTAAAGTTACGCGAGACGAGAAAATTGTACGGGGGCGTATGTTTACTGATTTCATGCAGCAGAGATCCAATTACATAAAGTTATATAATATTTATTCTGAATATTTGTAACTTGTCTCAATAATATGCTACATTTAAATCTTTCGTATTAGTCAATAACATTTTGACTAATACGAAACGAATGACAAAATTCTAGTATTTACATTTCGCCGTACGTCGTTGTACAAGATAACCGAAAAAGTCCTAAATGTACGTATGTATATGTATGTATGTTTGTAAATATAACGTACATATAGATACGATTTTTCCGATATATATATATCGTAAAAACGCGATAGTTTAAGAAGGTAATAATATATATTTATGAAGTAGATTTTTTACGCGTAACCAAAACCATTACAATTTTTTTACCATAAATCTTCACATAATAGTAATTGATGATTAAACTATATATATTTAAAAAAGAATAATTAAAATTTGACATCATAAACTTTTAGCTTAAAAAGGGGCATACTAGTCAATTCAATATTGGAGTTTAGTTTATCATCATATAATGATAGATTTATTGTATCATTATTACATAGTATAAAACAAAGTCGCTGTCGCTGTCTGTCCCTATGTATACTTAAATCTTTAAAACTGCGCAATGGATTTTGAAGTGCTTTTTTTAATAGATAGAGTGATTCAAGAGGAAGGTTTATATATATAACACATATATACCCGTGCTAAGCTGGGGCGAGTAGCTAGTATTATTATAATAAGATGAAGGTGACACCTGTAGTGGATGCGTTTATTACACTCGTAGTTCTAACATTTGAATAGTAAAGGGTTAACAAACCCACGTTGGGCGCCAAATAAAAATATGCTAAAAAATAAAGAATCGCCAACGTATAAATATACACTTCAGCGTTAACTATGTAAAATTATTACGTAGAGTATTTTACCGTAAATGGGCCCATTGAATGAGTACTGAAAGCATCATAAATCCAATTATACTGTGACAGAATTTTAATTACACGACGCTCTAAATCGAAGCACTCTCGTAAGACGTCCTCTCTTTAAGGTATAAACAGCAACGTTTTATCTTAAAATTGAGCACGTAAATTATATATTAGTATACATCCTATATAATAACAGCTCTTAATTTTTCATCCAAAATTTCATGTTTAAGTAAGCAAAGGGGAGTTGGAGATCATGTTACGCGGATCCACAGTATATATATATATATATTAGTTGGGGTCGGGACACGAGATCTGCAAGTACAGGGTTATGGGCTAACTGTTGCGCCAACAGTATTCTCTCGGGATAGATAATATAGCAAAATTGCGTATTTATTCAAATTTTCATGCAGATAAGTACGAGTATTATCTTGACAGATATATTAGGTTATATATATATCTATTAATATGTACTGTAATTAGACTTTATTATTTTTTTGTAAAGTAAAGTAAATGTAACGTTTGAATAGAAATTTTAAATAATATTGATTATAATTATTGAACATATATGTTATACGTAAGTCTATGCCAGATATTGTAAAAAATAAGTAGTATTTTTTTAAAATAAAAAAAATATATAAATAAATACTTTTAATTATTCGAATCGTTAATTATCACTTTGTACACAATAAGAATCGAAGTCTTATGAATAAATTAATATGGGCACTAATTGGAAGTAAGTGGAAATATCATAGTAGAACACATATTCTACACACGTATATGATTGTTGGTGTGGAGTATTGTTATCACTTATGTTGAAACTAGCCGTGCCGAAGCGGTCGGCGCGGCTGGAAGCTCGCGCAGACTGCCGCCGCCCGGGCCCTCAGTGTTGCCAACATACCGTCCTTAAGTGACCTTACCTCATATTGGAATACAACTGTAACTCGTTTTAAATGCACTCATCCGTGTTATTCGAAGCCACGCAACCGAAAAGCACAGCAATTTGGATATTTTTTAAAACTATAACGAATTAATAAAGTTAAAAGCAGTTTTTAGACATATTCTGAAAAAAAAAATTTAAATAACGTGGTAAGTATTATATTAAAATCGTTATATCAGTTTTGGTAGTATTAAAAATCATATGATTCTTTCTTTGCCGAGGCCTACGTCATATATGGAAGCTATATTGAAAATTACAAGTCCTAGCTCCAGCTATTGGCGTAGTTCAGTTCAGTTGAGTATATGAGTCAGAACTTTTATGAGTATGGATTTAATACTAAATATTACCAAAAAATATGTTTTGTATTAATATTAATAGATCATGAATGTAATATTATTGAATGAATATCGTAAATTTTTTCTTCCAATTTGAGTTCCACGTTGAGCGCCACTGCACATAATAATTATTGTGTTTAATACTAAAGTAACTTTATTTGTAACATATTCGTATACCTAATAATAAACTGCATCATTATTAAAGTAACATTAAAGTCACATTAAAACATTAAAAGACATTAAAGTTAACATATTGAAGTTCATTTTTATAAATGTAGTTTATTATTTAGAGTTCATCGTATTATGATTCCTAAAAAGCTGTATTTTTCCGAGGAGTGGTAACCCGAAGGGAGACGCACGACGGCGCATTTTCGCCGCGTCACTTTCTCTGGGCGTAAGCAACAGGTAAGAAAGGTCATGGAGGTATCTTGGGAACCACACGCGACATTGTTTAACAAGGGTAAGATTAATTGTTTTTATGGGGGATTTTTTTATATATAACTGAACTTAACGAAGTACATTCCTACAAAATTAAAACTTCATTGGTATTCGGTGTATTGTATTATATTATCTATCATATATCACATATTATCTATCGTTAATTACGATACTATAATTAATTTTAGGATAGGCTAAAATATTTTACTCCGGTGCAAAGATAGAAAAGTATCATATAATTGGCCAATTTGTCATTAACATACCATCTCGTCTCAGTGAGTTGCACTGAGTTGTACTTTTCAGTATTCTCAACTATTTCAAATTAAATTTGTATTAAGTGTATCATATTAAAATGATCCTTTAATTCAACATTTTTTATTCGTTCCTGTTATACTGCCATGTACTCTAAATTGGTATATAAGCTTTGAATGAATTTGTAAGTATTACATATAAAAACTACTAACGGTCGGAATACATAAAAAAATAAGATAATTATGAAAATATAAATAACTATAAATATTTACTTCAAATTTACGATATTGAAGTACTCAGAAAACTGTAGAAACTGTTCATAAAATATTTATTAGTTCAAGCCGAGCCCGCGACTTCTACTTATATAACATTTTTGTATGTTAATAGATTGGAATAAAATAAGCACAAAATTTTAAAAGTGAGGCTTACCAAAATACAAAATTAAAAACCGCACCCAAATCGATTAAACAGTTTCTCAGATTAGCATGCACAAGTGAACAAATAAACAATATAAAAGCTATTGTATAAGATTTTATTATGTTTATAAACTCTCTTAAAAACTAATTTTTGTCATTTTTATTCGTTGCACAGATAGAAATTAGTTACTTTTTTTTAGATAAGGAGTATCAACATAAACAAATACTTGTTTAATTGACAACGAAATTATTCACTTGTAATTCATTGTTAAAGTGATATAATGATAGTGATACATAGTATATAGAGTATAGGAATGAATGATTTCAATAGCAGCAGGCAAGGCAATTATGCTTACAAATAATGAATGAAATGCCCGGATACAACTCCCCCGGTAGCAGTATTGTCGGGCGGCGACCGCGGATATCGAACATTAGGCCTGTCACTCAACTCACTTGTATATGTCTGTACCCATGATTGATATTTTACTTAGAACAATTGTTTTAGGAAATCAATTACAGGATGGTATGTAGGGTCTTAGTAAAGTAAACCTAATAGTACTGGTGATATTGGTAGCAATATACCATGTCAGGTCGATCTTAACGAGATCGCCTGTGGAAGCCATAGTGGTTAATTTCTGAAAAAATTCCCATCCTATCCTGCACTGGTGCTCCAGACATACGGACAATTTATTAACCATTAATAATTGTTTATGTCCTTAACAAGCAGCAACCACCTCTGACTTATGAAAATGTGTTTTCTATAATATTTTTTTCTAAGTTCATAACTTTCACGCAAGAGAGAACAATAAGTTGACAAAGTTTTATCGCAATAAAATGAAAGGTGCGCAAATACAGATAAAAGGAATTGTCTTTCATATTAATATATAATTACGGAAATATTACAGCACTAGATCTATCTATAGCCATGTCATGTTTATGATCCCACTTTGATGACTACAATTGGTATTTGTGTTTAAAGAGGCCATTACAAATAAAAAAATAATCATCATTAAAACACAATGTAAGTAACATTAACATGTTATCTGTGCTACTACGTATCTAAACCTATATTTTATACATTGTATTGGATATAATCTATTCGTGACTTTGCTCAATATACACACATTTATTTTGTAATGTATTCTACGACTGTCAATTAAGACCTTTATGATGCATCTTTTATGTAGCTGAAGTAAATTACCTTTATTTTAAGGGTTGGCTGACATACTGTCGTTTCACTAATTCTTGATGTGGTTTAATATTTAAATAGCTGAGGAATATTCATTATAAAATGTTCTACATGTCAATCTACATTCTCTACAATGAATAGTTTTGTACATATTAGTCATATTTTTTAGTCAACATTGCCTTGCTTTTATCCCATTATTTGGAGTTGGCTCAGTTTGTCATATTGTTCCGCTACTCTCTATTAGACATCACATCTGGGCTTACTCTCTTTTGACATATCATCTTTTATGCATCCATCTATATTTTTTTGTTCGTCCTTTCCCTTTCCATTCATCCACGTTCATTCATTCTTTTATAATTTACGAGCTGATTGCGCTCTTGTCGGTGGAGCTCTTGCTATTGCCCACGATTTTTCATCAATCTCTTTAGTTGTTGTAACGACACGATCTCCCTATGTCATGATCTCCCCCTTTCCCTCTTTTCTTCTCTTTACTCTCTTTTCTTTCTTCATTTCTTATTTTATTTTTACAACTATTTCTTTTCATTCTTCTCCAACTCCATATATCAAAAGCTTCAGTCTGTCCCTTTCCGTTTGTGTCAATGTCCATGTCCATGTCTCACAGTCATACTTTAAGACGACTTTAGATAATCCAATAACATAGTAGATTATCAAATATTCAAACTATTCTATGGAAAAATCGATTGTTAGCGATGTTTTATTTAATCTAGTGAAACATTGATATAAATTTTATACTATATACATTGAATCATTTATATGCTACTTGGTAATTACTTTCTTAAATATTTAGGTTTTATTTCATGTAATAGTAATAGTAGTGAATAGTAACCGTTGTCTGTATACCAGAATGGCACGCCGGATACCATATCATAATGTGACGCCCGTGGCTGTACTCGTGAGTTGCCATTACAGATGACTAGGATGTCATGCCTCTATTCTATAATTTCATTCGAAATTCATTAAATTTAATTCTAAACACATCTCAGAAAGCAACCTACTTGGCGGTTTAAAAAGGGAAGATAAGGGTATCTATGCCGACGACTTTGTACAAAGTCTAGATTGCCAAATTGACGTTTAGTTATTCAGTCAAGGAGATTTCATTAGATATTGGGGCAAAGCCAGAGTGGCCAACTAGTTTTCAATAATATATAATGTAAGTGAATTCTGCCGATATAACGTTACAAAGTTACTTTAGTCAGCGATTTCTCTCAACATGAAGTTTCAAAGAAACAAGGAAAACTCAGTGAGCTCGAAACAAACAGACGGCCAAAATAGTGTAATGTGTTTGTACTTGTACCGAGTGGGGCTTACGACAACAAAGGTTCGATTGTAATACATTTCCTTCATTTGTATGTTTGACTACGCCGCCGAGTTTTTCGAACTACGACCAGTCGACCACTCGGAGCTGTTTACATTTAATACTTATAAAAATGTACCTTTCTTAAAGTACTTTTGTATAGGTAGGTGTAATATGATTACTTAAGGTCATGATTTATTCGTGGCGTGATCTGCAAAATAAATGCTATTGAAAAACCCACTGCTTAATTAATCGGCGTTGGAAAATTCTAGTGCTAGGTGAAGCAATAGAATAGAAGTAGGTACTATTTATTCAAATAAACTTGTTAATACTTGCTTACATAAGTTTATTAAAAAATAAACATCTGATTTTTAATTGTAATATATATAAACAATTTATTTTCTGATGACTTTTGATAATCATTTTTTATTCTATCACTGCTGAATCTGCTTTTCGAATGAAAATCAGATTTAGCACAAAAATAATGAGTGAGCGAGCGAGCGAGAAGAAACTTGGTTTTTAAGCAACTTTTTTCAATTCTACATTTTTTTAATTTGTGTGTAAAGTGTACACTCGAAATAGCAAACTCCACAAGTGTACATAAATATTCATAGAAGACCAGTCCCTAAACTGTAGCACTCGTCCACGAGCAATAGATGAGCTAGTGATCATTGCTCTAAACTATAAAATAGTTTAGTAGGGAGCAGTCAGTTGTATCAATTTTTCTTGTTCGATCACCAGCAAATGTTATATGCGATACGACAGATGCTAAAGCTTATCAGTACAGATGCAATCGCTGGTGGTGCAAATACATAGATATTAAAAGTAGTCTAGTCTGCGCAAGCTCTAAGGATATATAGAAGGATTCTTGGAACGGTAACTGAATATGAAGAGAAAAATAACAGTTTTTTGTTTGACAACAAAAAACTGATAACTAAAAAACTTGACTATAATTTGCCACTCATTAAAT